CACACACACACACACACACACACACACACACACACACACACACACACACACACACACACACACCTTATCTTATAATAAAACAAGACTTGCCTCAGTTGTTGCAGAATATTATTCTGTGCGGTGTCTGAACCATCTGTCATCTCACTTTTTAATTTAAATAGACGATCTTTCTTAGTTAATAAAATCCTGCATATTATTCACATGGATCCTGTTAAATAAAGGGTTTGTTAGTGTTTTATCTTTAAAAGAAAGAAGAGAGCAGTCCGCAGGACAAAGAGGGAAGTGCTGCTTCACTCGGTTTGTTTCGGAGGAACAGARAACACAACCTACCCAGTGTGATAAGAGTCCAAATGAAGTCAGACCAGGACCGGGYGCTTCCTTCAGATGAGTCCCCGGGTACATGCAGCCCTGAGGCGGATTCAAACTGTGCGGCTTGTCGGTCAGTCGGAGGAGTTAGTTTTCTGGGTCAGCTCAGGGATTATATCCAYGTAGAGAGCAGACAGAGGGAGAGGGATGGAGAGGAGGAGCCTCCGTCCTCTCCTTCTCCTTTGTTGCCATTGGTCCTCCCCCCCTTAATCACTGAGCAAAGAAACCTTCACCTCCTCTGATCCAGGAGAGCTGAGTCCTGCCTTCAGCTGCCTGTCATCAGCCACAATCTGCCTGCCTGTCCCTGGACCTGATTAACCTTTGGACTCCTGTTCAACATGGCTGACACAGCYAATAAACACCAGTTTATATTAACATTTTCTGTGGCAAACCCTAAAATTATTTCCCAAAATAAAATTWGAGCTCAGACAGATTGCACAAGGTCTTTATTTAAAACTCTGCCTGGTTCACTGACTTTTTTTTATATTGAACGAAAGTTGAAATTGTAGTGTTAAAGTTCAAACAAACTGTAACAAAATGAAATTAAATGGAGCAAGATGATAGCTGAAACCAGTTATAAACTAAGTACAAATACTTTGTTACTGTACTTAAGTAGAAATTTTGGTTGCAAAWTAAAGGTTCTTGCTGTTCAACCAGCCTGTTTCAGAGTTTCTCTCTTCAGAGCAGCAGTTCCACAGAACCAGAAGAYGTGGTTTTTACACCTCATTGTCTTTACTTGAGTAATTATTTTTCAGCGTACTTTTTACTTTTACTCATTACATTTTTACACAATTATCTACTTTTTACTCACTACATTTTTTTTAAAGGTAAGAAGTAGAAAGTTGTKACTCCTATTTTACTCTGAGTTGTTACTTAAAAAATCCTATCCAGATTAATTGTGTCTCCTGATAGAGTGAATTTAATTGTGTTTGGATGAGAAGTCTAAATATATACCATTCTGACACACTGTTATCATTATTATCATTATGCTTTGCAACAATAAGGTTGTGAAGGTCTTGAGAGAGCTCTTTACTTTTACCCATCATCAGATGGTTCTTGTGTGATACCTGG